CGATACTTTCACGTACAGGCGCTATATATATATATATATTCCCATACAAGTACACAGTTATACGTGCCCCAAGAGCTATCTCCAATTACACAATTTTCGTGAAGTTTCAGGGTGCCGGGTCTGAGGGTGACTATGGATACCATGGACAAACTACCCCCGGAGGCTTCACCGTCATACCCATTCTCGTTCCTATTTTCATCCCCATTGCCATTTCAGTACCATCCGCAACCCACGTGGCAGAGGGGTCTCGTTAGGTTTTTCTTCTTTTTTTTCCTATTCACTTATATTCGCATTGCTCCACATCATCCACCCTCTGTTAGATCTCATCCCCTTTAACCGTTCGTCCCCTCTCTCTCTCTCTCTCTCGTATCAACTGAGCCATTCACCATTATATATAGGTACACCATACGATTTTGCATATATCATCTTTCTCTCGAGTTTATTACACGGAATCTCCAGGGGCGCCATTATTATTTTATGACAACCTCATTACCGACCCTATCGCACGTGCCTGATCAAAGTTTTTGGTCGCTCGTGTCTTTTGGGATTTTTTTGTTTTTTTTTTTAATTGGACAACTTTTTTTTTCTTTAATTGGGGTAATCCTGGCGGATGTCTTTTTTTTTCCTCCCGGTATACCACGTACGTCGCGAACTTCATCGTTTGGCGATTTGTGTACGGAGAGTTCATTTTATTGAATATAGAAATTAATTCTTCGTTCGCCATCGAACTTTGCAATTGCCATAAGTGCTACTTTCCTAATGAACTTAACACGGGGAAACATGCTGATTCTATAACGGGCCAGTCCCCTTGGCTAAACTGTTGTAGGTGGATGCTTTCCCTTTGGGGATCCTTCGTGTACATAGGAACCTTGTTTATATAGGTATATACAGTGGGTATATATATAAGTATATATGTACCGGACACATGCCCAGTACATTTGCCACGGGCTGTGTTCGACAATGGCGACCGAGCTGTAGTGGCTTCTATGAGTATTTCCTTTGTAGGTTGGCACTCCTGTTTTTATGATGATAAATACTCGTGGCTCCGATCCTTCGGGTAATTCTAGGGATATTAGGACCTGAATACCATTTAATTTTTTACCGATGGGAATATAATTGGAGGGTGAATGTATTTTTTTTTTGTTCCTTCGTAATTATGTAAAATTTGTTATTATGGATATTGGGAGGATTTTAAAGAAATATTTTTTTTTTTTTTTTTTTTTTTTTTTTTTTTTTGGTACGGTTTAAGGGTGCCTTTGTGTAGCTCCGAGGGGATGCTCTGGGGGTAAAGTCTATTATGGGAATTACGCGGAGTTTAAAAAAATATTTTTTTTTTTTTTTTTTTTTTTGGTACGGTTTAAGGGTGCCTTTGTGTAGCTCCGAGGGGATGCTCTGGGGGTAAAGTCTATTATGGGAATTACGCGGAGTTTAGCACCCTTAAATTTCGGCCCTGGTACCTTTCTTCTTGGTCGTTTACTCCCGGTATAATTTCTCGGTAATTCGCGAGCTACCCTCTGCGGCGGACCAAGGCGAGAAGAAGGGTGGAAATAAAAGAGAAACGGAAGTTTCATCCCTTTCGGGTATCGCGGTTGGTCAAGATTATAGGAAAATCCTGAGGAACTAATTTCCAGGATCCTGAACGAGGGTAATAATTTTGTCTCAGGCTGATAATTAGCCAGTTAAGGGACTTTGCCGTTGAGACCCTCGGCTGGAGTGTACCAGCTGGATTATAAAAATCGAAACGTGAACGAGTGTATTTGCTGTTTATGGGTTGGTGAGGTTATCCGTCGTAAAACTTCTTTGAAGATTGCAAAAGGCAACTAGGGGCGAAGATGGATGACAAGGGATAAGGAAGGGTGAAAAAAAAAAAATTGTCACTCAAATTTTTTTTCGATGGAATCAAATATATTCCGTGGGATTTTGCAAAAGAGCTTTGTACTGACTTAGGGGGTTGCCGTGTGGGGTACTGAGTTTTCTCTTGTTCTACCCCTTTTCAAATACTCATGGGGAAACTCTGCCATTTCCGGGAAAATCGATGGGACACCCTTTGCATATTTACCCTTCGCGAATAATAGATCCGCGGCAAATGCCATTGGTATACCTTGTACATCCCCGCGTAGCTATCCACCCTGAAGCACCTTGTAAACACCATAAATAAATGAACAACGTTTACCCCGGCTTGAATTCCTGACGCAGGTGGCAGATAAGAATTTTTCATTATGAAATTCGCCGTGTGTACATTTCTTTTATTAATTCATTCATTTTCCTCGATCGATGCCAATGACTGTACGACGGAAATTTGTCAAGGTAATTAATAGCCTTGGGCGATAATACGTAAAAAATTGTTTCAAGGTGAATAAAAAAAAATGAATAGTCAGAATTGTTCTTCGTAACATGGATGAGCGACGTTCGGTATGGAACCGCACGAGGATTCAGGGGAATTGCCATTTTACGAGATTTGAGGTGGATGAAAATTTGCGATTTCTTGAGGCGCCGTCCCAAAGCGGCTTTTACGTTAATACCATAGGTGAGCAGGGAGATGGCGCCTCGACGCCGAAGTAAAACATGGATCATGAAAATTGACGGGTAAAATCGAGAAACGCAACTGTAGGTGCTGATATTTGGGGTCGCGTAAAATCAGCAAACGCAATTGGATGCACGAACGGAAATGCACGGCCGCTCAGGCTGTTAGGTTGAGCTAGAGAGGTTCGGAGTAAACGTCAGGCAAATAGTGCGAGATACAGAGAGCAACGGATCGAGAACGTAGCAGAACGAATCGGACGTATCAAATCGAAACCCCTCCACCATATAATACATTTGGAGACTCACCGGAGCTGGGCCAGCTAATCCGTGAAGGCCAAGAACTGCATACAGGAGACACTCGGGTGGACACTGCACTAGGACACGACACTGCACCTCCGGAACACTCACGAGAAATCCATAGAATATCCTGGATATCGCGAGAGCAACGCGAGAACTGCACGAGCGAGAACTTGGTATACCGTATCGAAACAAGGTTAGAAAAACTATCAACAGACAGCACGGGAGCGAGCCAGCTCGTGACACCTCGGTCGGTGCCCCGAGACAGACTGCTTTGACAAAATAGGCAAATTCGAGAACTAATAATTCTGATCATCTGATTGGTCGAGATCCTTATAGCCGATAACTCTTCCATCTCCCTCGAGTCGTTCCTTTAAACCAAATCGAGAGCGTTCCTTAGCGAATCGGTACGTAAATTTTGGAGATCCTCTACAGCCGCTTCCCCAGGACATCGGGCGACAGCTGGGCACCACGTCCTTAACTCGGGTCAGGGGGTTCCTCTTCTGCCCTTAACCGTATCAAAACTCTATCTCCGCCTGCTGTATAGCTCTTTGCCCATATCGATTAGATACGTTATCTGTATCGGTAGCCGGAGTCGCCTAGTGACCGTGAATCGAAAAATCACGTCACAAAATGTATATATAACAACAAAAATATATAATGCTTTCTAAATAACAAGGTGATTAAGATGAGAAAGATTGAGAAAGCACGCACGTGGTTTCGGAAGCACCGTGAGGCTTAATCCGAGCCTAAGGGGGTAAATAAGAAAAGGAGGAAATCATGGGGTGTATTACCGGGATATATAAGGGTTGCTTCTGCGCTACGATATCCGTCCGGAGTTTAACCTTCCACGTGAGAGTATCGCGAGCGATAAAAGGGGATGAAACAGGCTGCGAGAGTTTTCCGGGCTCGCGGTAAGTGTAGAAATAAATGGAGGGTAGGAAGGAGGGATAAAAAGAGAAAAACATTCTCCACCATCTATGGGACCACGGAAATCGAGAGCAACCCTCTACGACCCTTGCATCTCGTTCTGTTAGGAATCTTCTACTACCCCTTTGCTCTTCCTTATGTACCCTATAAGGTGTAACGTATGTATATATAGCTTTTGGAAAAACTCACCCCTGGGCCTTTGGGTACCATCCAAGTGGTAAAAGAGCCTGAAGCCGAGAAAGATCTCGGAGTGAAGTTTTGCTCTTGTGTGATAAAATAAAAAAAAGAGAAGATTCGTGTTAAATGCATTTTTTCTTTTTTTTGTTTTTTACCGGCGATTTATTAGTCGAGTACAGTTTTCGTAATAATACTATTGGCAATTTCAATCGGCAATTTAATAATAACTCATAGTATATATACAATTATATACAATCGGATTGACGTATCCTTGATTTTGCCATTTTTTTTTCGTCGGTTACTAATATCTGTGGATGCTGGAACACAAGAGATACACGGTTACCAAGAATATAATATATTAGATTATAATAAAATGTCAAAAATAAATTATTTATCATCACGAAATTTCAATTAAACTAATTAGTCATTCTCCGCGTTATCCAACGACATTACCATGTACCACATGTAATTCCATTGTTTAAGGGAATAATTATGTAAATGATTACCGTATCAGCATCTAATATATCATATTGCTCAGCAAGCACCCTCGGTTAAGCAGTTCCACCCTTAGAGGGTGGTATTAAGCTCTAGGATGAATCTCTTGTTTGTAATGCTGTCTAGTTAAAGTTCAGTGAACTTGCGGAATTTGGGATGATCCCCTAATATACGATTTGGACGAGAACACCGGGTCTTCCGGTTGGACAGGAAGTGGATATCTGGCGAGAATATTTTGAACGGAAGATACTCTGAAGGAATCACTACGTAGACTAGAAAGGACAACGGAATTACGATTAATGGTCGTACATACATACTGCACGTATCGATAGTAAGTTAATATTATATTACAATGGACTCTTGGAGGCACGGTCCTCTCTCTCTCTCTCTCTCTCTCTCTCTCTCTCTCTCTCTCTCTCACGCTCAAAGTATACCTGTATATCAATACTTATTTATATCAAGAAGTAATCTTAAATCTAATTGTGTGCTATGTTTAACAATACCGATATGACGATGCGTGTATAATCCTAAAACGTTCTAAATCGCTCAAAGTACAGTCTTGAAAGAAACGCCACGAAGTAGCCACCCGAAGTCCCGAGTCCTCTCATCCGGCAGCATCCGATCCCCTGGTCCAGGGCGCAAAAGATTATGATCCTTGAAGACATCCACGTGATACGAATCCTTCAGTTCTCCTCGATGATCTTCTCGAGGATGCTTGACTGTCCCTCGGCTTCCTTGGACCTATCCTGGCACCCCTGGGAATTGACTTCCTGGAGAAGACCCTTCTTCAGGACAGTGAGGTACCCCTAGCTCTGAAGTAGGTCTCCAATGTATTCGTCGTGCGGTGCGAGCAGGTGTCCAGGTACGTCCAGGGCGGTGTGTAGGGTGACGGTGACCCCACGATTAAGACTCACAGCGGGGTAGAAGACGCCGTAGAGGTCACGGAAGGCGACGCCACCCTGGGGTTGGTCGTTCACGAAGAATCTCAGGGTATGGGTGGTGTCCAGGTCCAGGAGGACGCCCACGGTAGAACCCTGCTGCACGCCACCCTCTGTTCGCTGTGCATGGCCACCCCCGTGCATGAACCAGGAACGCTGACGGTCTATGTACATGCTCCAACCCTTATCGTCTTTTCCTGAGGAGATAAAAAAAATTTGTTTTTTTTTCAAATCGACGTCGGAACGCCCAATGGGAATATTCGACGTCGGATAATCCACCCTATGTCACTAGGATTGTATTACAGATAGACGAGCCCGGTTCGCAATGAGATATGCGGGTTTACCTATAACGCATAAAATATTGCTCGGCCAATCTTATTGATCTCTGCCGAACATCGGCGACTGATGAAAAAAAAAGAAAAATAGATAAAATTCAAACCCTGCTATCTCGGTCAATGAACGAGGGTAGATTAGCCATTCCACCCTCTTTGGGCATCGAATAAATAATCCGATATGCCAGCACGAAGGTATTGCACTGGAAGGTAATCTCAAGCGTCGGGACGCCAACCACTGAGATTCCACTTGATGTCCCTTCCATCCCCTCATACCATCCCCAGGCTGTATCTCTCAATTAATTAAAAGGACGCTCGTAAAAATCGACCAACCCCAAAGACATTGAATTTTATTACTACCCAGTAACATTAATCCCATACAGTATCTTTTTCATCCCCTGTAAAGCCCGTTATAATTTTCCTATTAAATGCTACTAGCCCCTCGGCTGGCTTCTTTAGGTCCGTCGTTACCCTCTGTTACGACTTGTGCAAGTTTTGTTGATAATTTCAGTTCTTATTTCAACCTACCAAGCATTTGGTCCCTGGATACATCCGCCCTTGCTATACCGAACGCTGGATCCGTGTCGCTGTGGTAACGATCTATAGTCAGTTCCCAGTAATGTATACCCCGTGAAAATCCAACGCTGGACAGGACCACCCTGTGCTCGTAGCCTTCGCAGGACGCGCTCATGGCGTCCTCGGAGACCGATACTTCCTGGGGCACGCCCAAAGCGCCTGTTGCCCATGAGAACCACGCCACTATGTAAAATAGAACGAAAAGAAAAATTAACGCTCCGACGTTCGCGCGAAAAAAAGGAATTATGTAAACACACCCTTAGGTATATACTAACCCTCAGCAGTTTGCAGGCCGATCAGCTCGGAATATTCACCCTCTCCAGCACTATTGAATGCACGTACTCTAGCGTTATACAAGGAATTAAAGTGCAATCCGTCTACCGTGCAGATGGTTTCGCGTCCGCAGTAAACCTCCTGGATGAAAAAAAAAAAATTTGCAAAAATTTAACAAAATATTTTTGTATACAAAAAAAATATATCGCCGATACAAATATCGATCGGGGATCGATTTTTTTTTTTTAATTACACACACTCGTTTACCCTGTCCATTGGCGAAGTTTATTACTGACTAAATTAACAACGCAATTAAAAGCAATGAAATCGAGGCTAAAACCAAACGACTCGGTGCTGCCTTTAATGGCTTCCTCTCGCAGAAGACGTTCCTCCAGGGGATTCGCTATAATTCCCAGTTACGCTTCATCGGATCGTGCCTCTCGCGTGGACGCCAATGAGGTGTCAGATCCGTTCTGAAGGTGGCGCTCTAATTATCTTAAGCTCGGCTGGGTTACGGACTCCTCGTGTACGAGGCTACTAGCCCCGAATGGTAATTACCCTGGAGGAAGTAATCTCGAACGTTGGTACGTTTGAGAATGAGAAATTTTGTATGCACTTCTTTTTTTTTTGTTTTTTTTTTCTTTTGCTATTTCACGTAAAATTGAAATTTTTTATATGCAAATTTTTTATCCGATCTAATTGATCGTGATTATGATAATTATTAATTATCGCATCGGTTACCCGAAATTCACCACCGCATCCATCATCCAGCTCCAATAAGTAACCCTCGATGGCAGGACCACGCTGACCGCCAATCCCGTGTCCAGGAGGCGGCTGCCAGGCGACGGTCACGCTGTTGTTCTCTGCGCTGCACTCCTCGGGGATGAGAAGCGGCGCACCTGGCGCTGCAAGGGATGACAGATTGGAATTTACGTGAGATTAATTTTCAGGGAATTTGTATGGGTGGACGATTTTGGTTTTGGGATATTATTATTATTATTATATTGCATCATTATTTTTTTTTATCATAAAATATAAATAAAATTATAATAATAATAATCATAGGGTTTTATTACATTATTATCTATAATTCGGAAAATTTTCCCTCAGACCCCCAATGCCTAAGTGTTAATTAAGTTCACAGGTGATTTTTTCGGTTTTTAAGGTAAATTTTTCTCAACCCTAAATATCTCATAGATATATGCAAGTTTGCATAGGGTACTGTTTGACGGTAGGTTGACGTAATTTTCATGAGAAATAAACACGACTGTCCATAATTATAAGCAAGTATAATAAAAATATTCATACTGGTTTAACATTTACGAAACGTATATCAAGAGGGCTGTTAAAAAAATGGTATTAATTTAAAGCGCATCCCTTAACTGTCACCACGCCCGTCCCTTGACACCATTAATAATTATCCTATTCAGGATTTCGTGCTCTTGCATAACGTTTTCACGTCACTTCGGAGGGATGAAACGTGACGTCATCAAAGATTTCAACCCCCCTTCGCATTATGCCAGCAAGCTCATGCACTCCTGTAAGAGGAGATATTCGTCTGTCCCATACGTGTATAACTGTATATATATATATATATATATATATATATATATAGTCTATACCCAAGATATCCTATGGTTATCTTGAACTACCCCTCTAAAATTAAATCCTATTTCGTGCCAAAATCACCCTCATCTTCCATCAAGGTGCACCGATACGATACCGAGCGATTTAAGCGCGATTACCAAGAGCCCTTGATACGAACGATTATAGCTGATAAAATTTCTTCGAAATATTCATGAAAATTCCTAATTATTCGATAATAATTAAATCAAATGACTTTGATCGAGTTAATAAGATTTTTTGCCTTTAATAATCGAGCCAGTCCGATCCTTTCGTGACTGCGACCACTTTACGTAGATTAATCCAAGAACTGGGTAAAAGTCAAGAAAATTATATAAAGGTCTGATTAACCAGGGTGATAATCACTTTTAATTTTCTCCTCTCGAATAAGTAATCGTGCAAATTTTTCAGATTTTTTTTAGATGCTACATTGGATGCTGCGAAAAAAAAGGCCGTATCGTGTCAAGTGGCTGAGCGAAATTGTGATTCTTTGTAAGAGGGTAGAGAGAAATTTTTCCAGGAAATTGTCGAAACGGATGCTGGATCAACGTCAAGATTCTACTTCGTTTTCTTGAGGGAGACAGCTGTCTGGATACGTTACCCCGTATATGTGACTTCAGGTCCCGGATTACTTTCGCATGACGTTTTCCCTAGTAAAGGTAAAGAATGGTTATAGGTATTGTATTCGAGAATATAAAGAAGGTGAATATGGTGTGCAGCATCCGTTCTGTAAAATCGAAATAAAATTTTTTCCAAGTGGTTTCGTGCGTAATTATACCAAGGCCCAAAATTTTAATTGACTTTAGACACGATCGATAGCCAAAATTGATATTAATTGAAATCATTGTAAAATTCAAAAATCAAATTTTTTTCTTCTTCCTTCACTTCAATCTTCCACGTACCAACGACTCATTCAATGGCCGAGCGAAGCCTTTGTGCCAATTGAAAATAACATTTTCAATCCAGTCTGCTGACTTTTCCCAGCACTGTAATTAATCTGGCGAAACGGGGTGAAATTTAATTGCGAGTAAAATTAGCTGAGCTGTAATACAAAGAGCGAGACGACTTGACAAGATAGGGCTTATCTTAATGAGAGATATTTATAGTCATCAGTTTTTTTGGTAATAATTTTTTCGTCTATTTTCAAAATTTTATTAAATCGACAAAAATTCGTCTTGTTTTACATTGTCGTTAATTTACTTTTTTTTTTTTTTTGTAAAAAAAATTTTCCCACCGACATTCCACGTTCTCGGTCCTTTGAACTTTGCTCGCTTCGAGCATCTGAGCTTTTCCTCCTATCAGTTGGCGCTTCGATGTCTCGTCGAGCTTAAAAGCTACCCTATACCGTACAATGGTATAGGTGTCACAGATATCGGCAAGCTCGCTGGCTTAGGGGTGGCATTAGGTATCAAGGGCTTTCGCAAGCTCAAATCCCCCCGAACACTCGAGCGTCGCTTCTTGTTCGAGCTTTTCGACTAGGAGACATTCCGGTAACACGACGTGCTTACTGCCACACATACATACATAGGTGCATTGCGTTTGGTAACATAACGTTAAGTTAGATTACGAAAGCCATTAGGAAATACGTAATGCCAAGGCATTGGAGAACTTGGCAGGTAACGAAGTGAAGGTAGCCGCATATAAGTTAACCGTGACACAGTGTACAGACTTGAAGTCAGAAGCACAAGCAGAAGGAAAGCTGCCGAGCGTGATAGAATGGAAATATTGATAAAATTAAAAATATTTTTTGTATTGTTCGACAAAAAAAAATTTTTTCAAAATATTTTCAATTTTTTGGAAAAAAAATTTTTTTTCCGTATTTTAAGAATACCAATGAATTATGAAATTTCTCAAGATGGCACTTTTTCAGGATTTAACGGGCCGACGTTATATACGTGTCTGGCGTACGATCCTTGAGGCGCATACGAAATCTATATTTATATGCACCCCCTGTCTATTGGCAATCTTGACTCGTTGCGCCTAGAGTCTTGGAATGGTACTTGAGAATTCTTGAAAAGGACGTAAATAACAGCGCCAAGTGGAAGATTGAAGGTTGAAGGTTTTCAACGGTGAGAAAATTCAAGGAGCGCAAGAGGCTACGCGTGTTATACACAGGGGCGCTGAAGTGGACGGAGCCGAGAATAAAGTGGCGTTCACAGAGGTACTGTGAAAATCGATAAAAAAAAAAAAAAGAATAAGTACGCCATGCTATCCAAGTCGCGTGAAAGTTTTATCGCCCGGGAATAAATAAGTCGCGCGAGTGACGATAAGGTCGACTGGCCTAACGTGAAAACGTCATAAAGCTAACTCTTCCAAGTATCAGCCAAGGACACGCGAACCCTTGCGGGGGAACCAGTGTGTTTCGTGAGAAGTCACCTTAAAGTGGGAGCTCCAGTGGCGTAGCTGTCGGAGAGAGATAAAAGGGTGGGGAAGAAGAAATCCAACTGTTAAAAAAAAATTCCCTAGATATTTTTACCCGCCAAAGTCACCCCTCTGCGAATACAAACTCCAGGCTATCGTTGGTTTTAAAAAGCACCGAAAAAAAAAATCCACCCTTATTTATCCAATTACGTAATCCTTGATTTTTTTGGATTCACAATCGTTTATCCAAATCGGAAATTCGTCCCTCGCGCGTTTACCGTAAAGGTGGATCCACAACCCCCGTCACTTCGGGTATATTACTCGGAGGCAATTTTTCACGACAGCGAACACACCCTTAATTACCCAGGGCCTGTATAGCCTCTGGTCTTCGTGATAAATGGGCGGTGTATAAAATAAGGGTGGGAAAAAAAAAAGAACAAAGAAACCCTCAAAGAAAATATTTACCTGCGTCAAAAAGAAAAAAGGAGCTTTGTGGTACTGATCCTTCAATTTCCTGGTATTTCTGGATTTTCTCGTGAGAAAATAATCGAGCCCGGCAACGTAAAAGCCATCCGCGTCCGGAGGGTAGAAAGGATGAAACTCTTGTAAACAATGAAAATAAATAGTATCGCGATTTTAATTAACGAAGGTATCCGCGAATATGTTACATGAAAACTACACGGAAATGCGTGCTTAAGCCGCGGCCATTACCCTTAGCGCGAGTCCACAAAAGCGTAATAAACGGAATAAAATTACGTCCGGTGGTTCGTAGGACGTTTAATAATACACCAGAGGGGATGAAAGGGAGGACTGAACACTTTCCCAAGCGTTCTTCCTTTGTCCTGAGCGTTGCTGGGGACGTAAAGGCAGATTCACAGGACGAGCGACACATGGGTGTACCTATACCAGCTTTATAGGGATTACGAAAGCATAGGTAGACTTGCCGTGGGAAATTGCGTTTGCTGTGTGAAACCGAGAAAATAAAGCATCCATACGGTGTGAGAGTACCTTTAAGCCGGATAATCACTGTTGGATGGATATGTGACGCAGGATCGATTTTACTCATAAAAAAAAAAATTAAGTTTATAGTCCATTGTGGATACCCCTTAATACGTGTATAGACGGTTATGTTTTTTTACGTAATATCGTATAATGACATGTATGCATATATATATTTTATAACATCTACCATCTATAGAATCCATTGTCGTACCTGGAATTGGCCTAGTTATCGAGATATATAAAAGATCGATAACTAATGAAATAATTAATGATTTATTGATTTCTTTTTTAATCTATTGCTTTACCTGTTGTCGGATATCTATTTTCTCCATCGGATGCTGCGTCCAACATTACAACACACGTTACACAACACTTCACACATAATTTATCCAAAAGCATATATATATATATATTCAGTTGAAACGTACCACCTGAAGTTGGCACAAGTCTTATGGTAAAACTGTGTTCAGATGGATTGTTTGGCCTGAATAACTAGGGGTACATGTGTAATAAACGAAAAGTAGATACAATCCAATGAAAGGTACCAAAGGAACCAGATAAAAAGGAGGAAATGAATTTCCCTGGGCAAAAAAAAAAAAAAAAAAAAAGGTTGAAGTGTCAAAATTTTGGCAAATCGTCCTACGAGTCCTGTGATAATCACAGTCGGGGTGAAAGGTCGAGAAAAGGTAATGCAGAATAATTAACTCACGTTTAAGCTGGACAAAGGTCAGCTGATCGATGGCCCTTCTGAGGGGTTTGTCGTCAAGGGTCAAATCCAGGAGGGGCAGTCTAGCTATTTCCTGGACGCCCTCGGCGCCGCTCCAGGAACCGGCAGCCGTCGCTGCCCTGACCGACAGCATCCCCCCTATCTGGAGGAAAGCTGCGCTGTCCGTCTCCTTGAGGGCCTCGATGCAAAAGGTCAAAAGGGCAGTGGTGGCTTGAAGATGGCTGGTACACCTGGCGACCTGCTCCCGAAGGGAACGCAACCTGGCGTCACCTGTCTTCCGGGCAGCTTCGATCAGCCGTGATTTTCTAGCCTGAAGAAGATTCACCAGAGTGTTGATGCGTTCCTCGACCTCCTCTTCCAGGCTCACGCATTCCTCCTGTATTTTAGGACAGATTGAAATTTTTTTTTTTTTTTTTTTTTTGAAATTAATTTAATCACGATTTTACGTCTGTCGCGATTTTTATTTGATTTTTATTCAAAATCAACATCACTCGTACGTTTAGTCATTGGAATTCACTGTGGGACGGAAATCAGCTTTGTCGTCATCGTCATTCTTTTTTTCGGAACCTCTCATTTCTTAATCACGTGTTTTTCTCCTCTTATACACTATATACTGTGGGGTATAGCATAGTACAGCATGGTTTATACTATACTACACAGTTTATGCTATACTGTGTCGGGGTATAGTGTATAGGGAATCGGAAAAAAAACTCAGCCACGACCCTTCTATTTATATCCGACCGAAAAAGCTCCCTTTTTTTTTTTTCTTCCCTACTAATTCTTCCTGCCGCTCCACTTATTTCCTCGTTCTACGATAAATGTGACAAATATTGCAAGACTGGGATGACGAACTTTTTCGTATACGGGATCGTCATGATTTTTTTTTTTGGCTTTTTCATTGTTACAGGTTGCACTATTTATTACAGCAAGTCTGTCAGCTGTAGAAATTCAGCGATCGATACGATCGTAGGATCTGCTATGGTCTTGATTAGTCGTGACAGGCAAAGTGAGTTTTGAATTTTTTAAAATTTTTTTACAAAAACTTTTTTAATGCTTTACCTTTTTTTTTCACTCCAATGATGTTGAGGCAAATTTTAAAAATACATAGTCTGAGTTTATCGATAAAAATTTTTCGTCTCTTTACTATACTATTAGATTAGTATTCTCTGGGGTGGGATTAGGGGGCTGGATCGGGGACGGGGCAATTTACACGAAGCGCACCCAGTATATTTGAGTTTCACTCGGCTTCACTCCAGTTTCAATACTACTTTCGTATTTGTTAAATTATTTTTCCACCAGCGTGAAAGCGTCGGTAACTTGGACGCTCGTTTCCCAAGTTTGATTGCGTCGACTGGAGAGTTAAGACCAGCCTTACCTAGTTTCGCTCTGTACACGTTTATATTATTTTCCGGCTTAAGGAATTCGGCTCTCGCAGCCATATAGATACTGGCTTAACACGGCTTCTCTACGGCTCCGGCAATTTTGCTTCGTGTCAAACGGGCTTTTATATTGCGTTTTACATGAAATTTTTTTTAAGTACACTGTATATAGATAAAATTTATATATATATATATATCCTTCCTATATCCATCTCCACACAGTTATTCGCATACATAGATCGGTGCCTGTGAGGCAAAATTTTTTGACGATTTGTGAAAAAAATATGTGGTTACTTCATAATTTAGTAAAGAAAGAAAAATACGAATTTCATGAATCTCGTGATTCGTGAAAAAGTTCAATGTTATTTTACAAATTGAATTAAAATCATGTTTTTCTTTTCCACGTTCTTGGGAATCGTTGATAAAAAAAAATTTTTTCTTTCCGATTTTTAAAAAAGTTTTCGAAAGCTCGAGTCACGCCTCGTTTACGTAATTAGCCGTTGGGTTCTAATCGATAATAATGGCAGCCATAATTTAATTCCGTTCCTCTTTCAGCCTCGTAAAGTTATAATAAAAAAAAAAAAAATTAAACAAACTTCGTAAATCCCTATTATCGATGCTTTAAATATTTTCAAACTCAAAATTATATTTTCTTATTCAAACTGATGACATAACCTCTCTTTCCAGACATCGTCGAACCCCAGGCAATGCTATGTCCGTTCACAAGTAGCGACGGACGAACTTTTGAAGTCGACGAAAACCGTAAATATCGATAACGCTTTAACAGCCGGCTGGATGCTGAGGATGAACAATGAAATCGTAAAACCTTCCGGAGGCGTTTCTAATCGACGAACGGCTTGTTAGCCATACTATATAGAACGCTTACGAAAAGTTTTATATAGAAACCAGCCACCATCTGTCTTTTCCATAAGTGTCCGACTGCCTTCGCGAGGCCTCGCTCTGCCTTCCCTCCCCTCCACCGCCCCTACCGACCGCCAAATCCGACCCAAAGAAAACCCATAGAACGTAAAGGCGCATACTCACGTGCACTTTATCCGTCATTCCTTTGAGTCGCTGGATGAATTCTGTCGTGGAACGTGCTCTTTCGGATAGCTGCTGCAGATTCTGCGACAATTCGGTCTGGAAACAGGATAAAAGCCAAGTCAGATGAAAAGCCTGAATTTTTCTGAAAACCCCTAAAAGATCAATCTCTACGATTACCCATGGGATAAGGTAACCAGGCAGGTTGGATACGACGTACGTGGAAACCAGCCTCAAAGAGCATCGTGGTTTCTTAACGATTTTCAAAGAACGGGCGTCAGGCTTGGGAAGAAATATTTATCGAAAAATTTTTGGCCTCGTCTTTTATGCTTAAAAAAAAATTTCGATTTCCAGAGAACGGTCAATAATTCTTCTTTGCCCCCCTAAAATCACCCTTGATGGTACTTGATGAAAAATTATTTATTGGGACAAATCGAAACTTATAATTAAAATTTTATAGTTCATACAATTTCTCGGATCAATAAGTGGGACAAACAATTATTTTTCAAATTGAATTTTTCGAAATGTATACTGGCGAACACGTGCATTTTGGAATACGAGTCGAAAATCTTTAATTGCCAAAAAAAATGGTCGATGATAAATATAGCGCGAATGATCGAACTGAAACGAAAAATAAATAAATTTAATCATATTTCGAATACGGTTTAATTCATTTGTTGTGTTCAATTTCCTTCCAATCATCCTGGAACTGGGGCATCGTGATTCAATTGTCATTGCAGCGACGTATGATCAATTGCAATGAAAATCAATATCGTCATTTTAAAAATTTTAATCGGCGATCGCGCCAGATCGAATTGTGCCTTGGCGATAAATAATTTTGAGACCAAAGGTCAGCAGGTCGCTTATGTCGCCCAAACGTGAAAGACAGTTGTGGGTCGCGAATAGCTAAACGTACGGGAGACGCGATTACTGATTAAGGGGGTCAAGGGTCAAAACTGAAAGGAGGCAGACATTTTTTCAATTAAAACGATCAATCGTTATTTCAATACTATTAGAATTAAATTCATCACAAACGAAAACGTTCCCGCCAGTATGACGTAACGAACGATTTTCCCTTTGTACATTTTTAGAACCGTATGCGTATTTTTCTAGTGATATTGCCCCAAAAAAATGGATCGGGTTATCAAACGTTTTTAATGAAAAAAAAAAAAGAAAAATTTCGTTCTACCAATAATAATTACAGGCATATACAGTGATACAATCGATATTTAGCTATCGTGATTTTTCTTTTTTTATACCCCAAAACACCTAGTCGATATTTCAGTATCTCTGGTTCGCTTTTCGATTATTTTTTTTTTTCATTTTTATTTTCCACCCCGTTTACAAACACTTTTTTTTTTCTCTGTACGTCGCCAAAAATATTGAATTACGAACCCGGCAACGAACGCCTCCCTCTCTGGCCCCTTTATATCGCAGCTATCGCCGCTTGACGGCTTTTGCGACAAAAGAAAAAAGAAAAAAAAAAAAAAAAGAATAGCCACGGAATGTGGAGATGAAATTCATTTCCCAGGTGAAATTCCCAGCCTCCGACGCGTATCGGGGATTTTTGAACCCAGGAATCTTATTAGCATGAAAAAAGCTTTCTGGAATTCATCTAAAAATCTACGATGTGTGTATATCTGGCCCAGGGCCATCTGTACCGGAAAGCTAAGAAACGGTAAGGAGGACAGGAGGGCACGAGGGAATATGAAAAAAAAAAAAATAGTCAAATCCACTCGCAAGAAAAATCCTATGGGATTTGAAATTCCCGCCGAAACCTACGATGCCCCTAGCATTTCCCATCGATGCCATTTCGAAAGGATCCAAAGTGCTCATTGAGAAAATTTCTAAAAATCCATTGGCATTCTTTAAAAGAAAAAAATGAACTTCGTTTTTTAATGGAATCTCGTTTTTCCCAATTTACCAAAATTTTTGTCTTTGTTTTACTAGCTACTACCCACCACCTCGTCCCGCTAACTATCCACTCTATTATCCACTCTGATAAGCGCTCTGAGTAAACCGCGTAGCACGGCCCATTGTAACTCCTCAAAATTCAGACTATCTCTCTCTCTCTCTCTCTCTCTCTCTCTCTCTCACTCTGCCAAATACTCAACCGTAGGATGACGGAAGCACCGTTTCCTGTTTACATATGTAAACCCGAGTGCATGCATACATGCCCATAAAAATGGGAAGCGCGCTGAGAGTACCGAATAATGGGGATCCACTTTTTCGACCCAGTTTTCCGGGTTTGCTTGCCTCCCGTAAACAAGCCGCGTCCCTATAATGGCCGTTCAATGGTGAATCGAGAGCTACGTAATTTATGGGAGGTCGGTAACACTGGGGTCAGTGGGGAAGTGGTAATGCGTATTTCTGCATCGACATAGGGAGGATTTCTATGTGAGGGGAAAGACCCTGTAGTGATAACGTTAAGGTTAGGTTAGGTTAGAATACACGGGAGGGCGAGTGACGTTCTTGATACCATTATACTATACGTATTATGCATTTTTATATCGGGTGTATAAAAAATACAGGGTGATCCTTGATAAACTCGCAATACAAAACTGTCATGGCGTCCTACAGTTTTTGGATAAAAATCGTCTCGCCGCGTCACGTTGACATAACGAATCGCTGGTAACAGCTCGTCGCCGTGGAATTTGGTTCATTGAAAATTCACATTGTTCCCGGTACCGGCCGTTTCCGGGTCATTTAATTAAAGGCCGCGCGCGCGTGCACTTTAATCGGCCGGTCGTTATAATGCCGCGTGCTCAATCGAACGAAACGATATAATTTCCTCTTGCGTCCCTGCGAGTCGCGATATCCCCAGAGACAAAAATATACTTGCGTGCTAAGTGAGACTATAGGGGAAAATAATGAAGAGACAAGGTTGGCGTTGAGAGGATAAAAACAAAAGGTAACTAGGGTAGCCTAGGGAATTATTTACAGACCCTCGCCCAGAAATAATTGGGATCGATGATGGTCCTCTTGATCGATTACGAATTTTTTTTTTTTTTTTTTGATTGTATAAGTAACCAGATCCCTAGTTACTTTTATGCTAGATACCAACGTGGCGACGCGTTTAGTAATTTTACTAGGGAATATCAGTTATGACTTTTAGACCTAAGATCGGCCAGTCGTTATCGTCTTCCTGCAGACTACCTTTCCCTTTTCAGTATTCACCCCTATTGACTCCACCCTTAGGAGCTACCCTTAGACTCTCTCAGGCTCCCTGTTGGTACGACCCTGCGTAAACAAGATACCAACACCCCAGGCACCGTACTGACTGCTTACGTCAGTTAGGATAGAAATGTTCTTGCACGTTGTAAGGGTGCCTCTGCCGGATCTAGGGACTTTGGGTTTTATCATCTGAAATTCGAGCGATAAAGCTACCGGGGAATTTCGTCGAGTACCAACTGTAATTTTACAGAGAAAAAATAAAATATACAGGTCCAGCAGGTTGGTAACTGTCATTGCAGTCTAGTCGTCGCGGACGTGGTCAGCCTGTAAAAAAGTATTGCGCGAATAGCGTAGCAGATTTTTTTTTTGTTTTTCAACCCCAACGGGAAGCAGAGCAAACTAAAGCGTTAGGGGGTAGTTTACAAGAGGGAACGCGTGACCCGCGATACAATGGGTTTTGCGCAAGGAAATCAAAGGGAGGAAAACTGGATGCCACGCGGAGCATTGCAGAGTGGATAATACAGAAGGGGTAGTTCTCTCGTTACGCTAGGGAATTTCGAAATATCCCTATAGATTCCAAAACAAGGGAGCAGTAAAGACTTTGCGGTGGAGTGACAAGAAAGAAAAAGTGATTTTCCCAATGTTAAAATTTTTCCCCAAAAAAAAAAAAAAAAATTCCACCTCGTTGGCTTTCAAACTCGAAAAATACTTCGTCTGCATACTTTTTATTTCCATTGTCTATCAGAGAGACGTCGCTCTCGTAAAATTTCAGAAAATTTAACACGGATTCATTGTATCACCCGTATTTCCCGTTATTCGCAAAAAAAAAAATCCCTACCATTTTATTATTTTTATTTCATACCAACCCAAAAATACGTTCCACCAAAAAAATGCGTAACTACCGTTAAAATCGTTGCGCAGGTGGCTTATCTCATTTAATTGTAATTTTTCAGCGTTAGGAAAAGACGAGGAAAAAAAGTCAAAAAAGGTTAAAAAGAAAAATCATAAAAAATATATGTATATATATATATTCTATTCTATATATATATATATATATATATATATATATATATATATATATATATATATATATACACACAGACACACACACAGGAACCCCAACGTATTGGCACGTAATGGATACCGAAGTTATCGGGAGGGACTGAGCGAGAATATTTTTTATCTTTTTTTATTTTCACTTTTTTTTCCCCCATAGACGCGTCAAAACTCACGTGCGGGCAGCCATTCGCGCGAGCACCTATATAACCCGTTATCGAGTTACGCTTAACGTACGTATGGTATTACACTGGCAGAGTAGGTAGTCTGCGGTCGTTGGATCGTTCATTGTAAATCGGACCATATATAAAACACAGGGATACGTACGGCCACGTAGCATATATAGACAGACAGATAAAGGTAGAATCGCACGCGATACGTTCAGAAAGTGCAAATCAACGTACGAACCGTTGTAAAAACATACTATACGAAAATCCCATCGGTTTCCAAATGCACCCCTTTTGCCCTTTTTCCCACCACTCGTCAACCCTTCACTCTAAGCCCCTACCATCGAGTCTCTTTCAACCCCTGTCGGTCGGGGCTGTCGTCCCGACGCCGGTGCTCGCTGCACCCCTCCAATTTCACCCGTCGACCACCATTACGTCATTACGCGTTTCCCGTTCTTCTACTGCACCCCTTTATTTTTTCTCCATTCACCCCCTTCAGATTTTTCAGGGTCCGCCCCTGGTCACCGAACGCCCGGACGCCTAAAGATCCCGGCAAATTCTGGGCACTTTCCAGACGATGACCTCCCCGCGATAACATTAACCCCTGTACACACCGGGTGAAATCGTCGGATAACCCCACCACCCACTAACAGCCCCTAATGTATCCCAGTCGTAATAAGCGTCAAGGCAAGCGCATTGTGT